CTCTATGCATTTCTGCAAGCCTCGTCTCCAAATGATCTGCTGGCCTCCATGTGGCATTCTTCAGTCTGCAGCGATCACTGTGAATAATGCGCGGTTTGGTGAGCGGCCGTTAGGCATACACAAAACATGTCCCATCCGATGCAATAGCGAGCTCGCGTTCGATGCGGTCCCAAACACCCGACGACTTACTTCCAAGTTACTAACCCGATCACTTCATTCCACCTCGGCTAGAGTACGTAAGCACTGATTGACCAAAACCTCCAAGCGATGGATGGATGTCTTCTACTCGCAAATTCAAGGTCCCACAATCGTAAAACATAACTGGCCACACACTGGTGCAGTATACGCAACTTTTCAACTTCAGTGAAATATCACGTCGTCGCCATAGGTGTACGCTGCACGAGCCTTCGAAATGCGGACGGTTATCTCCTTTGAAGCGTTGTCGTCGTTAGTCAAGCAGTTACCCAAGTCCGAGCAGCAGTCAACTTCATCTAATTCCTGACCGTCTAGTTTCAAAACAGAACTCAGCGACACTCGGTCTTGTAGCATCACTTTGCACTTTGAAGGTGCAAAGCGTACGCTGAACGGAGCAGAAGAACTTGCTAATCTGTTAAGTGCGCTTTGTGCATCCTCCATACATTGAAACAGGCAAACAATGCCGTCAGGGTACTCTAAACAACATAGCTTAGCTCCAGCTGCCCGTTCAATATCAACATTTCGGATACCATTTAATTCGTTCTCCAGTAGTTCGTCTATGACGAAATTGATCAGAAATGGCGAAAGAGGGTACCGTTGACGAACACCGCTGCTTGTTAGGGACGACCTACTCAGCTCACTGCAGACCCTTACGCTACACAAAAAGACACAGACAATGACGATCAATGGACAACAACCGGTTACCTACCACTTGATGCCATAAATAAATGGTGAGAAAAAGCATACCTGGGCATCGTGTATTACGAACTCGATGCGATCCGTCCAGGAACCGGTACGAAGATTGCGCTCCACTACTAGATGGGGATGAATGAAATCCACCATTAGCTGCGCCACACTTGGTGTGGACTCCGGACACACAGTCCATGTGATTAGACGCACACACCGAGCGGTAAAAAGAGCCTGTATAGGTGGTGACCTCGAAGCAGGCGACTTCCTCGCACATGCATCAGAATCAACGTCACCGGTCGCGCGTGGAACAGGCGAAGATGCGACGTTAGGTTTGGTTGGTTTTTTCGCTTCAGTCGCCGCCAAACTGCATTCTCCAAGGGATTTCTCTCCTGAATGGAGCAGATCAGCCAGAACTGGGCAGTTGAAAAGAATTACAATATTTCCGGGAACAGCCAACTCCAATACGCAGCCGTCAGTGAGATGCTGAAATGCAAATCAAACGATCTAAGAAAAAAGTGATAAGTTCAGGAGGGAACATCAACGATTCAACAACGGTAGACGAGCGCGAATGAAAATGTGTAACACTCAATGATTCATCCTCTAGGAGCTTCATGTGAGAATCAGGCTAACAGTAGATTATGGTCGCGTTAGCGTGTGCTTGTGTTTAATAATAGGACAGAGATGTTTACATCGTAAGCACAAAGCATTTGTCGCCGCTGACCTAAAGTAGCGTACAAAGTGAACTTCTATTTCTCGATGGATTCGATAAATTCGCAGTACTTAAGTAGATGAGGCCAACTTTCTAATTATCCAAGTTCCACAAGAACAGTAAGGTTCATCATGAACACCCTCATTCCCCTTTTATGTTCCACTTTTCAATGAACCTCTTGATCAGCAATAACTATATCTGACAGCGAGGATAGTGGCGTCAACCGACTTCCTTAGAGCCAGTTGTGTTAGCCAGAACAGACAGATAAAAAGTATAGCTCAATGAAAATGCAGATGGATTTGAAATTTTAATGAGTAACTTCCGAAGCATCGGGGCCACTCATAGTATGTGGTTCACATTAACAATAGGATAAGCAAGAAAATGCAGGATTAAGTTGCGCCCACTCCAAATCCAATTCTACCTACTTACGTGGATCATGGTTAGTATTTCGTCTTCGTAGACAATATTCTGTTTATCTAGTCCATCGTACACTCGGAAAGAATTAGACTAGAGTTTCACTCTGGTTGGAACTCATTAGCAGTATTATATTATGTTGTGAGTTTAATTTGTACACCCATCAACGATTCACTTTTGGTTTTGATTGCTGTCTTTCTGGCAGCTCATCGGGATAAAAGAGTGGAATGAAGATTGGGATGTCGAGAGCAGTGCCAAACAGATAAAACAAAATTCATGAAGGAAATCGAGAAGATACACGAGCGCCACCGTTTGCGACAATCGATGTTTTCAACTATGTATTACAGTGATCCCGAGGATATCAACCAGGGAACCCAACGCGAATTATATAACCGATTCTCCGAGTCAGGGTTTTCATATCGTCATACTCAACCTAGTTTGACATCGTTTACCTTTTTCCACCCATCACTGGCCTCGGTAAACATCGCCGGACGGACCGATCTAATTAGTGACATGCGTAACCAATACCTTAGCCAACGCAATCTATTGCTTATCCGGTTGCACAGCAAACCACTAGTACGATGCGGTGTCCGAACACCACTAGTCCAGATTTATCTTCCTGTAACAGCCAAGTCTCAGGTTGCACCATATAGCAANGAACCGCTACAGAATATTGCAATCCAATTACGAGACAGACCACCAACAGGTGAACTGCATTGTGTCCCCCATGGGCAGTGACAGACCTGAATGATGCAGATCTAAATCGACGTAAGCAATCAGGCGAAACGTGTGAGCATCTGTACAAGGGAGACCAGAGCTGTATGCTACCGAGCGCGTCCCCAGGTCGCGGATAGGGGAACGGCCGTCATCTCACGGCTAACCGTGAATAAAGTGGGCCTCGGCCCTCTGAATAAGCGGCCGCAGACGATCAGCGGCAGCGCT